TATGAAAGGGCCAATTGATACTTACTTTATACCTAACCTTGAGCTGCAGTTCAGAAAGGGAAGAAGCAAGTGACATTAGAAAATAGATTCAGGAAGGAAGATAGAGATCAGGCAATTCAATGTTGCTCAATGGTTTTCTTAAGCTGCCATTTCTTTTAATATTGTTTGCTTAAGTAGCTTCTATGAAATGCTTGAAGCAATTGGCCAATTTGGGCGAGGTCTAAAAGGCCCAATCCCAAATGAGCTTTCAGAGCCATGACTGAAGAATAAGGTAGAACACGCTAAGGATTACGTCAATTCTTCCCATAAGAATGGGTGGGCTGAATTAGGGTTTTCCATAATGACTGATTCATGGAGTGATGACATGAGTATCGTGAACCTGTTTGTAAGTTGTCCCTTAGGTACATTACTTTTGAGATCCATTGCTTCTTCTGAAGAAGTTCATGATGCACATTTTATATGCTAATTCATTGATAAGGGCATTAGAGGAGGTTGGGGAGGAGCATGTAATCCAAGTTGTCACAAATAATGTTGCTCCTAATCGAGTTGTAGCTCATTTGCTTTGCCAAAAGAGGCCTCGTATATTTTAGACATCTTGCATTGCACACTGCATGGACCTTGTGCTGGAGGCTATTGGCAACATGCCTAGTTTTAAAGGCACGCTCTCTAAGAGTAAGGAGGTCACAATTTTCATATACAGCTACACCATACCCTTAGCATGATGCACAAGTTCACAGAAAAGGAGGAGATAGTGAGGGCCGTGCTCACCAGATTTACTACTGCTTACTTGAGTCTTAAGAGCATACATAGTAGGATGATCCCATTGAGATTTATGTCCACTTCAGAGGATTGGAGCAGGTGTAAGTTGTTTAAAGATCCCAAAGGAAAGAGAGCCTCTGATATAATTGTTTCTAAGGTTTTTTGGCATAGGGTGAAGTACTCGCAAACAATATTTTACCCTTGGTCAATGTCTTAGGTTAAACTGATGGTTACAAGCCCTCTATGGGCTTTATATATGATGCACTAGATGGAGGTAAGAAGGAGATAGCTGAGAGTTTGGGCAATGATGAGGCCAAGTATGGTCCAAGCATGGGAGCAATGCTCTAAACCTCCAGAAGATGGCTTTTTCGCATTTTGAATTTAACAACTAGCTCTTCTAGTTGTGAGTGAAATCGGAGTTCGTTTGAGATGGTATGTTTAGTTGAGGTTCTTTTCTATTATAGAAGAAATAGACATATAGTACAAAGGTTAATTATACTTTTACAATTTTACTTTAGCTCTTTGTAAGTCCAAATTTAAAATCTACATGGGTTGAGTAGTAGTACTCATGCATTTTTTCTTAAAAGTGTATACAAATAGAAGAGATAGGCTTGAGTAAAGGAAGCTAAGGAGAAGTTCAATCAGCAGAAGAAGGATCCCATCGCTTCCAAGGACAAGGAGAATGCTACTGAGTGGTTGGTTGGAGACCGTAGAAGAGGCCTTCCTTGGAGATAGTTTGACTTGGGATATGGTTGAGGAGGCTTCAGGTCCATCTTCTGCCATTGGTACTTCAAAAAGGGTGAGGTAGATATATGAGGATAAGGTAGATTGGAAAGAAATTGAGGAATATAAGCAATATGTCAAAGAGGGTGATGATTATGTTGATGATGGACTCAATTCAGATGGAGGTGCAAGTGATGATGAAGATTTTGACTGATGATTGAAGAATCGAACATCTCCTCTCCCTACTTTTGTATTTCATCTTATCTTTTATACTACATCATCTTGTATTGGTTTTATGCTTTTATTGGAGATTTGGAGTCCATGCGACACTATCTGTGTAACTGTGTATCGTGATTGTATGCCAGTGTGGAGTAGGGATTGGAGAGTTGGAGACTAATACACACTAGACCTATTTATATCTTTCACTAAATTTTCAATGATTTGATTTTTTAACATGTTTCATCATTCATGCATATATATTTGCATAAAAATGGTTCGTTAGAATACATATAAATGGAAAACAAATATAAAATTACCACAAATTACTTCATATATGTGCATTTGGATAGCGCAGACACATATTTCTGAAATATTTTCACCTCAGAGCGCTTGAGGTTCTAGTCGTCCGCCTAGGTACGGGGTGTAGGGTCTGGCTGGCCTACAAGGACTGGCTACAGTTTTCTGAAATATTGCTGGGTAGTTCCCTGTATTGTATGCATACAGTTGGTTCTAAGGCCTTCCTATTACATTTTCACGTTTTTATTGTTTTCATGATTAATTTGTACATGTGTTGTATATGTACCTATGTTTAGCCAAAACAAACTTTGTGTACCTATGTTGCTACAGTCAGCTTCTGAAGGACATACATTTTTACCCAAATGTCCATTTGGTGTGATCCAAAGCTTAAATTAAAGATTGTTCAATATTTACCAACCATTATATCTATGAATTTTTCATATTTCTAATGTTTAGCTTCAAAATATGGTCGAAAGTCTGCTGAAATTATTTGTGACAAATGTTAGGATTGATTAGGTTTGGGTTTGATTGATTAAGAAAGTACAAGTCATTTTAAGCTTTTTAATTAAGTTTCTTCCTTTTAGTTGGTATTTGGATTTACCTTAACCTTAGCTGTACTACATTTAGACCTTCTATCATCCAATTCTATGCCAATTAAAAATCATTTGTAAGGCCTAAAACCTTCATGTCCTAATCTTTAGGGATCCAAAGTCCAAACCCTTTAATGACTCCAAAATCTTAGTATAATGAGGACCCCCTTCCTGGACCTCTTGGCACATGGAACAGTCATGTAGGTGCCAAGCCCGTTGGTCGTGCATCAATTTCGGTATCGGAGTGGGTTGGTCCTTACGAGTTTGCTTTGAGTTCAGTTATGTCATACATGTAGCTCGTCTCTCCCAGAGCCAAAGAGATAAGCTTTTTGCAACTAGTGGATCAAACAAATACCTTCGAGAAATTATCCGTGTATTGATTGGAGAAAGAGCGACAATGAATCAGTCAACAACCAAGCCTAGAAGCGAAGGAAGCAAGAAAATGAATGTCAAACGAGCACATCGATGATTGTCCTCCCCCCAATGGTATGAGACTATGAATATAGCTCTATCCTTCCCTAGCATATTAACTCCTCAGACAAACATTACACACCATCCAAAGGATGGACATCTTCAGGATGGTTGCAATTAGGGTGCTTTAAACCCTTTCCCTATCCCTAGTTCTATTTCATGACCCTAACACCTTAAAGTTGTTTCTGCAACTAAACCTCATCCCCGAACCGCTTCAAACCATGGTCCTTCTAGATATGTTTGTTTTCTCTTTCCCACTTCAATTTTGACTCAAACTTTTGTACTTACAAAGATTGGTCCTTGCATTTTATACATCTCGTTCATGGCACCATAGAGCCAAATAAGTTACTAAATTTCTTTGTAGCAACTAGAGAAAGGTCAATCTCATGGTTGCAGCTTCGACGATTGGCGGCAGATTCTTCATAGTCTACTCATACACCTGAGTATTCCCTTATAGCTCCTGCAAGGAATCAGTTCATGACAAAGCATCTCTCAGTAATGCAGTTGTCATGTGTACATGTCATGCGAAAGTTTGTCGAGGTTGTTGCCCTTGCTCTTATATGCCTACAACCGCACACAAGAGACCACACAGTTCTTCTGGCCTATAAACATCATCCTTGGGCATCTCTCCGACCTCAACGAGGGATGACCCACTGTAAACCCTTCTCAGTAGTGCCACATGCCCAAGGTAAGGGTTTTGGACGTGACTAGGGCCATAAACCGCCCAACCTTTGGTCAGCCAACATACACTCCCATCGAAGTGCGTATTCCACCATAAAACATCGTATTTACAAGCTCTCTAGGCCTTTAAAGGCTACAAAACCCAACATGAAAATAGAAAACAAAAATTGTCTTTAGGTGGGTTAGCTAGAAATTTGAAAAAAGGTATCCAAAAATAAGAAGGCAAAATGACGTCAAGTTCAAAATCCAAGCTCTTTTGAAACTTTCCCTAAGATCAAGATCCATTGAAACCATGATTGCATCCCATCTCCAGCCAGGTCGTGATCCCCTTATAAAGCAATCAATCCCTTTTTGTCGGGGATCAAGGTCCTTATAAGATACAGATCGAGCTTCTCTCGTGCTCCAACTCCAGGATTGCCGGCGAGATTCTGAGGGGAGATCGCCAACCCCGGACCAAGCTACCAACAATTATGACCAAAACCAACATGTAAAATGAAGAAAATGTATAACTAGTTCAAGAAATTGAAGAACCTCTACATTGAAGTACAATTAAGCCAGATGCTCCATAATATCCCATAACTGATGGACCCTTTCACAAATGAAAGCATCAGTCTTTTTCTGATCTGTGCATATCATAAGAAAGCTGAGCTAGAAGCCACTAGGAAGTGCCCTGTCAGAATTAGCTCAACGATAATGCATGTCATCTTTTTGGATCTTTTTGGGTCTTTTTCAATCTTTCTAGAAAGAACCTTCCTTGTTTTTTAGCATATGACCTATGACAGGCTAATAGGATTTTGATCTTATCTAACTTGGGTTTAGAAGGAATGAAGATTATATTAATGCTCGACATCATGCAGTACTGGTATCAAAATTCCTTAGTACTTATCTCTGTTGCTTCTTAGTGACACCACAAAAGTTTTGAAGAAATGCACAAAGGATTGAAACTCTTTTTATTATGGCTTATCTCAAAAGTTATAATGCCTTTTCAACATTCTTTTGAGATCATATTTTGTATTGGAAATTTTTTTTTGATATAAGTTTGTACCAGTATACTATTTACAAAGTGAGGTTTACTCTTGCCTAAAAATTTCTGTGCCCTAAAATTGTTCAGCTCATACTGAATTTCTTCTACACTTTTTTTATGACTCAAATATCTATTCTTTTTTTCTTAGACTAGCTACCAATAGGAATTCCTTAACATGTTCTCGAACATTTTCTTGTTCCCACCATGATAACTTACATGCATGTCACCATGTTCAGTCTGGAATATTGGGCTTTTGAGGTTCTTGTTTTTCTTGCTGGAATGCTTGCTGAACCAGAGAAGAATACTTCTTTGATTGCAATGTGGTAAGTCTCCAGCACATCTTTTCCTCTTTTTTTTTTTTTGCTTTCTACAATTGTATGCTGCTTCTATGAGAATATTCTACTGAAAACTATTCTTTCTTATTGTATTTAAAGTCATTTCCTTCTTATTTCAGCGTGAATACAGAAGATCTGATATACATGATAACATTTGGTTTCAGTGCAGCTGTCAGGTACCTGATCCCATAATCCCACATGTATGTACTGGAATGTAGTTTAAATCTATATTTGTGTTTTCTGTTGTCTTAATGCATTTACTAAAAGACTTTTTTCTTAAAGTCACTAATATCAAACTCCCTTGCCAGTACTCGTGTATCAAATGAGATTGGAGCAGGAAATCCTCAGCGAGCTAAGAATGCTGTTTGGGTTACACTCAAGCTTTCTGTGGGTCTGGGTGTGATCATGGTAATCTCACTGGCGACTGGTCACAAACTTTGGGCAAGTGCATTTAGTGGCAGTCAAAGAATCAAAAATGAGTTTGCTTCCATGACTATGCTTCTTGCTTCATCTATATTGCTTGATGCAATCCAAGGAGTCTTATCAGGTTGTCAATAAAGCCTTATCATATCTATGTAGCTAGTTTCTTGAGAATGAACCACAGGGATGCCTGGAGCACCTGAAAAATACATCAAATATCAAAACAATGTCTGGACTTCTATTTCTTTGGAATGTTTATTTTCTCCTGATATTTACCGTGAGACATAGTAGGACAATTTTGCAGAGTTTATTCAATATAAAGGATAAAATAGCCATTCAGAAAACTCAAATTTAGTCACTGTTTTGAGATTTCTGGTCTGGTACGCCTGCATTATTCATGAATGTGAGGCACTGTCTTGTTATTTCCCTAGTAGCTTTCCTAAATGAACTATATTATCCTAAGTGTCAAGTATTCCACAGTGTCGAACAAATTTTTGTACCTCTTTCAAGCAACAGATTTAATTATTTTTTTCTTTCATTTTCACATTTGACATGCAGGAGTCGCTCGAGGTTGTGGATGGCAGCACTTGGCCGCATGGACCAACTTAGCAGCCTTCTATGGAGTTGGAGTTCCAATAGCAGTTTTTCTTGCATTCAAGTTGGAACTTCATGCTCATGTTAGTTTTTATTTCACTTCACATTGAAGGTTTTGATAAAAAATTATCACAGTGCATGGACTTTATGGATTTAGTGTATATATACTAGACTGTTGCAAGTTAAATTAAGAAAAGAATTACTCTATTTAGTTGCAGGGCGATAATGAGAGTCATGTGACATATTGAAATGGTCCTATGTAAGAGAAGAAGAACAACTTGCAACAAGATTGAGTAGGCTAATCAAGTACTTTTTATTCTTCAAAGATGGTTAAGTGTGTGGTTACTCATGTTATCGTTATACTCATGTTATCGGTATACCTGAGGTCAATAAACCGCACACACATAATATATCTGTGTCTCTGTGTGCATGTGTGTGGGAATATTTCTCTGTTTTAGTATGAGTGTGTAATGCTTTGACATATAAGGGTATTTTGGGAAATTTGATGTGTGTTGCACATCATGTTACTTAGAATGAATAAAAAATATCATTTCATAATGTTACTTAGCTCAATCTTTCTGTTGATGTGTTATTTTTGTGGTCTTTGTATTGCCCAATTGTATAGTTTGCTCATTTTTGCATGTGTGAAACTGTATATGAGTGATTACTCCACATTATTAATCACACAAATCTCTCTGATACAATACAAAAGCCTCAGCAATCATTACCCATCTTACGGTTCTGTGAGTGTTGGCAGTCATGTAAACAGAAAAGCAATCAGGAGATTTTGTAGATTTACCAAACGAAGAACCTTTGTGATTTATGGCACAAGAAAGATCTCTGGAACAAAAAATTTTGTGCAATGAATGGAATTCAATGGTAATCTTAACATGTTCCATAGTATGGCCCCATGTCAGAAAACACAGCTGAGCTGCAGAACTCAGCCACTAGCCCAACCGAGTGCACCGAGTTCAGAAAGGGCAAACAAAAGGTAAAAAAAACATAGCAGGAGAGAGATAGAGAGAGAGAGAGAGAGAGAGAGAGAGATTTAAAGAGAGAAATCAAACTTTCGATAAATTTTAGTACTTTTTGGTTCCAGTTTGTGTATTCAAGAATGAGAGAGAGAGAGAGAGAGAGATTTGAAGAGAGAAATCAAACTTTTGATAAATTTGAGTGTTTTTGGGTTCCAGTATGGGTACTCAAGAATGAGAAGCCCAATTGTTGAGAGAGAGAGGGAGAGGAGAGAAAGGGAGGGATTTCAAATTTTGAAGAGAAAAGTCAAAGTTTTGGTAAATTTTAGTGTTTTTGTGAGTTCAGTGTGGGTATCCATGAATGCGAGCTGCAATCACTCTGAGAGAGAGGGGTAGAACAAGCCGAAACATGGAAGGGAGAGGGAGTAGAAAAAGCTGAAACGTGGAAGAGAGGAGTAGAAGAAGCTGAGTCGTCGAAGAGAGAGAGAGAGAGAGAGGGTTGAAAAAGATGAGACGTGGAAGTCTTATCTTGCATATGAATCCACTGACAACAAGGAAGGACAAGCTGATAGTTCACAACATCACCCATCCAACGATGGAGATAAGCCATACTGATGAGTGTGAACATGGCAAAATGCTGGCCACTTAGAGCAGGCTTCTGTTTTGACTGTTCAGATTGCTCGTGTGATTCTGTGAATTACTCCGGCAAGTGCTTTAGTGACTTGTCGGAGTACTGTAGAACTTGGGCAAGCCTGGCCGAGTTATCCAGTACTATGGTGAGTTTGTACAGTACTTCCCTTGCACTATACAGGTACCCACATCCACCCTTTTTTATACAATATTCGTCACCCTGCTGAGGCCAAGAAACTCAGCCATAGTTTGCAAATGTTGTGGGGTCAACAATTCCATTGAACTTCAGCTTGAGTTAAAAGAGTTTTGTTCGTAATGCATTAGCTTGGGTCACAATTCCATTGAACTTCTGTTCTTTGAGGGCCATTTGAGGCCTATAACGGTTATTTTGTACTCAACTTGATCTGGTCACAGTTCAGCACGACCCAATTCTTGTCAAATTGGCTTCAAGTTTTCAGGTTGGCAAATAATGTGTATGGCCCTTCCAATGGGAGGGATACTCTCAATTGGCCTATGATAAGGGAAGGGTTTAGATAAAATACAGGCACCACATGTTCAAGGTAAATATTGCTAATTGCAGAGTCTTTCCCAAGTTGCAGCTGAGGAAGACGAATTTGAGAGGGCTGGGGAAGGGTGCACTGTGACATATCAAATATCTCTGACCTTCATCAAATGAAACACTTAATGCTTGTTCTTCAAGTGAAATGTTCAGGTTGATCCAGCTGAGAAGTATCTTTTCATGGGGAATGCTTGTGTAATCCCATGAGTTTTCATACTTGGGATTATATTTCAGAAGAAAAAATACCATGCTGCTACAAAGCTTTCCTGTATACTTTGTGCCTGATGCTTCTACAAAGTAAGGCAGAGCCGCCACTAAACCACACCATTGACCAAAGTGCTACAATCGCTTCAAAATAAACTGTTCCTTAATGAATGAGTGCTAGATCCATTGAGTTCTGGTACTAAGCAGTAAGCAGGTTGAGGAGAAGCTGGGGGGGTCAAAAAGATCAAAAGAGGAGAAGCAAAGGGTAAGGATGTAAGGGAAAAGGAACGGATGTATTTTTGGGTGAATAGAAAGGATGTAGGAAAGACTGGTAATAGGTTTCACCCCTTGGTTCCACAACCAAAACCAAACCCCCATGTGTTTTTTATCTGAAAGACTGGTAATAGGTTTCACCCGTTGCTTCCACAACCAAAACCAAACCCAAACCCCCATCTGTTTTTTATCTGAACTTTTATTGTTTGGAAATGGAGAGTCAGGAATGATGGTTCAAGATAATGGTTTTTTTGTGTGTGCGTGAGCTACACACATACTTGTGCATAGGGGTAAAAGAGGATGGTTATCATTTAGACAAAGTGATGAAACAGCAGGACTGCACTTACATTGTCCTTTCTTTATCATTGTCAAATGGTGTTTTAGGCATTCATTATTCTCTTTGAATCTTCCTATTGTGGATTCAGAACCATTTAAGCTTTCTAGTACGAACTTCTTTATCAAATCCAAGCATTGTTTTGTTAAAGAGAGATAATGCGGAATGAATGATTTTGTATGCTAAGATCTATGCTTTTCTGCTTTGGAATGTCCAACTGAACCTGGTTGCATAAAAAGACGGCAAGGAACTTACACTAAAAGAGAAGGAAAGGAACATGGTGGCACAATCGCTTCCACTGTAAATCATAAAAGGGCACTGCACAATGTAATGCTATGGAGTTCATCTCCTCATCTTTGATACTTCTACTTATTTCTGGTTGGGCAATGTCATGATGTGGGGGATAATCAATTGATGTTGTTTATTTCTATCATGGAAAATTTTAAGAGAGAGATACTGATGTCAATCATGCATGTGTTTTGTGTGTGCAGGGACTGTGGCTTGGGCTTATTTGTGGTCTATTCTGCCAGGTTTGCATATTGATCCTCATAATGCTACGCAGCAGCTGGTCCAGTATAGTCATTAAACCTGATGATGTGTTGAATGCTTAGTTTTTACATATTGATATGGTGATTGAGTTGGCTTTACTTGAGTTGCAAACTTACACCTCGATGTTGAATGGTGAGATTGAAGTTCATTTGTTTGTCATTTTGGAACAGAGGGAAATTTACATGTAGACCGTTGTAGGATCTATATCTAAAAGCAAGATGGCTTATTTTCTAGTTTATGTCAAGGTTTTATGTGTGGAAAGAAATTTATGTATGGTTGCAACCTTATAAAGTAAGTTGCACCTGAAAAATCCAACAGAAAATGGTGTTTTGAGGTTCGAAAACCTTCTGATTGACTATGGCAACCTCAAGATAGTACGGATATAAAGAAAAAAAAAAAGTTCAAGTCCTAAAAATAGTGTCTTGTTACAAGTTATTTTGACTGTCTATTTTTAAGATTTTCAAATATTTATAGATCTACTTGATCTGCACTGTTTTTAAAATTTTAAATTTTAGAATTAGGGTTAAACATGGATTTTCAAACCATCCTAAGGTTTTGACACATGAACTACATCATGCAGTAAAATGTAGAGGTGCACCTTATTTGTACAATATAAGGTGGCCATGTTATACAAACCTCACCCTGTTTGTTTTTATCCTTTTCTTTTTATCCCCTTATTACTTCTAGTTTGGACACCAAATGTTTGAAAGTTTTTTTTTTTGGGGGGAGAAATTTATATGTAAATCCTAAGGAATTCCCATTATTTAGAAAAGGAAAAAGTTTATATAAGTTTAACACCTTAAACTGTGGAATGAAGGTGCACTTCTAAAATCCTTTGATGAAGGTTGTTTTATTGTTGTAAAAGCATCAAATTGATCATCGAGACTCTGAGATGTATAGATATAGAGAAAAAAAAAGAGAATTCAAGTACCAAAAATAGTACGTCTTGCAACAAATTTTTTGGACTGTTCATTTTCAAGATTTTTATACGTTTATAGATCTTTTCTATTTGAATCAGTTTTAGAGTTTAAAGCTCTATAATTAGAGATAAAAACAGATTCTTGTCCCATTCTAAAAATTTTCAACACCAAAATTATATCTCATGACAATGTTTGGAGGTACTTTGATTGTTTAAGGTTACAACCTTCTGCAAATCACGCCCTTTAAAAATCCCACCCCAAATTTTTGTTATTGCATTCATATTCTATTTATGAGTTCAACTGCTGCTATTTGTGAGTTCAACTGTTGGTATGTTGGCTCTGTGAGTTCAACCGGTCCTATGTTAGCTCTGTGGGTTCCTAAAGTTCCACTGTACTCCAAGGGCCTCCTCAACTAAGCAAATCAGGACCTTAGAGATTCGAAGTTCTGCAAACCAGCAAGATTCTATTTTCCTCTGGAACCCAAGAGCCACCTTGGCTGCCAGAGGGTTAGCGGGTCGATCAAAAACCATATGGTTAGTGGGTTGATCAAAAACCATATCAAATCAACCTTGAATTGAACAAAATTAGGTGAATCATCATATCACGGAAAATGTACACCAATTTTTAGCAAGTCATATACCAGCTCTATAAAATTGGAGAACTACTTATTAAAACATCCCTCTCAGACCCCACTCTCAGAATTGGATGAAACGGGGAGGCTTTTTCAAGATATGGCCAGAAGGACCTCTCCGTCAATTTTCTTGGACTTTCAATAGTCCGGCAGCATACAAGCTTTGTGAAAATGCCAGGCTGCCTGCTATTTGAAGGGTCCTTTGATTGAGCCACCATATCAACGGATGATATATCAAATGATCTTTGATCGAGATGAAACTTGGTGAGATTTTTAATCTAGAAGATTTCAATAATACGCTCCAAATTTTAAGTGATTTGTGAGAGTTTTCAAGGACGTAAAATGGATCCAAACAGCCATGGTTCGAAGGTTCTTCTATTTGCAGCAGGGCTTTTGAGGACCAGACTACAGACCTTATTTTCTCCTTTGTCTTGGTATGTCCCAAGCTGAAAGGTGGTAAGAATGATCATTTTCCAACACTCTACAAACCCATAAAAGCAAGGGATAAATCCTTCCAAGATTTGGAAGTGAATTGAAGGTCAAATCCAAGGCCAAAATGGGTCTACCGCATGGGCAACAAGGCACGATGAATTCGAAACTCCAATATTCGGGAGAGTTTTTTCTTGTGATTCAGATCACGAGACATTCGACTGAATTCTCCATCATCTCATGAAGAAAAGTTTGCACAAAACTATATCAAATGGCTAGGATTGAGCAAGGATATGAGCCCATTTATGAATTCCACCCAACAGCAAATGAGTTCACCTAGGGTCTGTCCCAAAACAAACCTTGGGCAAATTTGTGAAATTTTGATTTTTTATCCCAAAAACATGCCCCTCAAGTTTCCAAGGCAGGAGTAACCCAAATTGCCCTCTTCTTGGCCTATAATATCCCTATGCCATGAGGAAAGAAAAGCAATTGGCATTCAAAAAAAAAGTGCACGCATAGAGACCTTGTGAATAACTCAGAACAGAGAGAACCCAAAAATAAGAGTAATTTCTTAGAGGGATTAGGGGAGATTGGATATCAGGATTTGCCCAAAGCTTTCCTTGTGATTTCTCATTGAGATCATATTTTAGCCGAGAAGAATATCGAGATCCAAGCACCCTTTCAAGGAGCAAAGGAGAGGAAGAGAACATAGGAAAAGCATAGTCCCTCCTTGATTTTAGTACAAGTCGGATTTCAAATCGGGTGGTGTCATTGATTAGACTCAAAATTCCACGGATCAGCCACCAAGTCCATTTCATTAACAATTGCTTTCAACTTTAATACCTGCATCCCTTTCTCCTCACTTTAAACCCAAATCCTTGTCTGAAATCTCAATCCAATGTTTACTATTGTGAATGGGACCTGATCATCCCACCTCAGAACAACCATAATGGTTTTCCATCTTCCCCATCATTGGGGTGCAAATTGTTCCCATTTCCCTTTGTCAAAGGATACTCTAGACTATATAAACCAGCAAATTTTAGAAAGACTCGAAACCACACAAATGGCTGACCAAATATGCATAAATAGCTGTGTGGAATTTTTATGACAGCTCGAAAGGGAATCCAGGTCTACCAAATGTTGAGGGATTGTTAGGGTCCACGAAGGCAAAGAGTAGTCACTGGGATCCGAGTGAGGTCAGATCCCGATCGGAGTTGGGACCACAGGATCGAGAAATACACAAGGATTCGTAGGATATGGATCGATCCGTGCATCCAAATTTATCCAAGATCAAATGAAAAGTATGTGGATGGAGGTCTGTCCAGCTTTCAATCGAGTCTCCTTAAGAGTACATAATCGTGGTACTCTAGCTCTGAAACGAAGTCAGTTGAACAATATGATTAATATTTGTCTTGAATTCAGAAAATCCAAAATATCATTAAATATAAAGAATCACATTTTTAAAATATTTTTTAATTTTATGTTATCATTAGAGTCTGTTTTAAAGTGAGAATGAAATTGAAAACCCAAATGATGGTTCAAATTTCAACCCTCATAAAGAAGCTCTAGTAGCTCTAGTGTTTGATGGAAACTTAGTATCCTTATTTTCCCTTGTTTGGGTCCTTTAACTTACATGCGATTCAACTCATCATGCACTCCCTAAGTTTGGAGGAAATTCAGAGGAAGAAATGGGTCCAGAGGCAAAGAAAGATTCAACCTGCAAAAAATCTCTAACCGTGGATTTGGTCAATGAGAGGGCACTCGAGAAAGTTCAATTATATAAAGCTTATGGAGCTTTTAGTTAGTGAAATGAAAATTATTTTGGGTAGGATATGGCAAAGCTTTACCTTTGTAGCTGTTCTCCTTCATCTGCAAGTTCCATAACATAATATATTAGCAACTTAGATGTTATGGTGTTTATTTTTATGATTCACAAGTTCAAAGTTCAAACTTCAAGCTTCAAACCCTGGTTGTCATTGTGGGCATTGGGACTATTTCTCACGATTGATCTCTACACACAAGCCAATTCAAATTCAAAATTTTTAGAGAAAAATATTCGTGGAGAGAGAGGTTATGAGCTAGGGAGATAGAAAGAGGATGGATGGAGGAAGAGGGAGGTGATCAATGCAAGAGACTTGAAATGGACTAGTTATCCTCGGTATCAATATAAAAGAAACTCGATACATGATTTGGATGAGATGGATTTGGATCCAATTAACCGGGGATTGAGATCCCCAACTTTGTGGATCAAGTTCCCTTGTATATCAATTTCGAAAAATAAATGAGAAACAACTAACATTCCATAAAAAAAAAAGGGGCAGTTATTCATTTTCATTCAGTTACATTTTTTTTTTTTTTGGGGCAACTTTTTCATCAAATTTTCCCCTAGACTTGCAAGTGAAACCAAATTTATGAAAACCTCCTATTGGGTGATTGAGATTTGTTTCACTGACCACAAAGTTCATCATTTATGTAAAGGTGCGGTTTGTATAGAGCTTAGGCTCTAAACAATCAAATTAGAGCCTACCTTCAAATAGTGTCGAGAAATGTGGCTTCAATATTAGAAATCTTTGTGATAGCCTTAAAATATATTTTCATCTTTATTTAGAAAGTTTAAAGCTTTAAAATAGTGTCAATCGATCGATCTATGAAAACTTGAAAATCTTAAAAATTGACAGTAAAAAAATGCGTTACAAAATCACCATCTCCAAAACTTGAAATCTATTTTTTTCTCATGTTCGTGTATCTTGATGTTGAGATGATCAATTTTGAGGATATTTGGTCATCAAAACAATCTCCTCTAGTGAAATTTTTGTGGTAGGCTCAAATTTGATTGGTTAGAGCCTCGGCTCTATATAAATTTTTCTCTTTATGAAAATGTAGATTAGCATGCATATAGTAGTAAACCCACCTGGTGAGGAACCACAGTCCAAAGGTGTCTGATGGTGGAGTATACAATCTGGTCGTCATATACATCCCATATACAATATACATCCCATATACAATATGTTTGTCCAATGCCAATGGGTGGTGTGTGCTCAGCAGAGATCATTTTTACAATGTGCTTTCTAGTAAGAATAGAACATATGATACCTAAAGAAAAAGTATGTAAGAAAAATGAGATTATAAATCACTTCGATAAACAAAAGTAATTAGTCTTTTCAATGAGAAGTCAAAAACCAACCTTGGATTAGTTATCGAGGATCATTGCCGACTATATTGGTTTGTCCATGTACTCTTGAATAGAACCACCCAAGAGTTCTTCATGGTAGTATTAAAAGAACCATGACCATGTTATTTTCATGCTCAGTAGTTCAGTCTGCAAAAATGTGGCAATAATGTGCATTAAGAGAGTCCATAAGGTAGTGCAATCATATCTAGAAATAAGCTCACCTCAAATTCAAATCCATCTCAGAATTTCTCAACTAATATAACTGGAGACGTACCTAGCCAAAAAATAACATGACATGATGCGTGCTGTTTTCTTCACATCAACCCAGTTTCAAGCAGCAGCTGGAACATATTACAATGCCCGAAAGGAACAATGGGATCATGTTATGAAGTCATTGCAAGTATTGGATACTAGGCAAAAACACTACCTTACCTTTCGGGGAAACATTTTGAAAATGAAAACAATGCCTCATCATGATCACCAGAACCTTTTCCCTACTATTTGGGATCGTCTATACGAATCTTGATCAGTTATTCTGCTCTATCAAGGGTCATACTTTAAAACATTGACTACAAAAGATCTTGAAAATGAAAATACAATAATTTACATGTTACAGAAGCTTCTTCAATTTGCATGGCACCATTATCTTCATCTGAATTAGGAAAAATATCACTTTCTAATTTACATTTAGCTGTTCTAGTAACGTTTTTTTTAATTCTTGTAATTGTGAAGCAATTTCTGGCGTTCAGAAGGCGAAGCAGAGATTAATCATTTGCGAAATCCAAGTTTTTCCATGCCCTTGCACTGGGCTAGGAGGCCATATTGACTCTGCTTCTCCTCATTCTTCTCTATTTCACACCCAACAGTCCCTCTTGCTTTCTGCCCGGCTACTTCAAGGCCCTTTACTTTCAGCTTCTCTAACTTGCTACTACATTCAGTGGTATTATTGAACAAATCAGGGGCACTAAGCTTCCTCTTCTTTGGGTTCGTAGTGTTTTTTTCAGATAAATCCATGGAAACACTCTTGCATATACCTGCTACTCTCCCTTGGGGGTTAGATCCAAAGTTGACAACATCTTCGGTTCTATGTGCATACATGCTACCTGTTCATTGAAATGCAGTAGGCGCAGAAATTAATACTTTCTAACATAATTTATAATGGCAAGGAACAAGGT